CACAAAATAACAAAATGTTTGTTTTTAAATGGAAGTGCTTTCAGATGTTTTAATGTGTCAGTGTATGTTTTTTTTTAAATGTACTGATTTCACAAGTTGAAAAAGAAATGAATCTTTGTCTAGCACTATTATAATAAATGGTGAATCATCCTCATTGCCAACTGTTGTGATGTGGGGTCTGGCAAGACGCAACACTGTGACACGCACTGGTGGTTGCAGTCACAGTCCAACACCAATATGTGACGTCCACTGGTCGCGACATCAATATCTTATGGGGCCTGTCGTGGTTTGGGTTCCTTGACAATTCTTAATTCCCAGCCAAAAATTCTCTTTGTCCCCAGAACAGGAAAATTTATTACTTCCCATTTTTGGAAGCTTTCGAGGTTTTTCTCCCTCATCCATGAGGAGAGGTCAGAGGAGAATTATCCTCCTAGACTCTTCCTTTCTCATATTGGCATCTCATACCAATCCTCTTAGTGGGTGTCAACAACTTCCCCGCCTTTCTCATATGTTCACCTTCGCCCATCACTCACGCCACCTACTCAGTCAATGATTGCTCGGCAGCGTGGGTGTGGCTAGACCTTGCCTTCTTAAAATTATCGTCCAGAAAAAAAAATTCTCTTTTCCTTTCTTTCCTTCTTTTCTATTAGCCAGAATTCTTATTAAAATTTTAAAATTTTAATTTAAAATTTTCTTATTCTAATTAAAATTTTATCTTATCCTGAGCCACCCAAAATCCACTTAGCAGAATTCATTAATCACTGCTAGTCAACCTTCAAACTGGGTGGTAGTTTTTACTTTACAAATTCTTTATTTTTCTCTTGTATTAAAATTTTCGTGGCACCAGATGCTCATTTTCGAGTCACCGTCTGACATAACAATGATTCCCTCTCTTGACTCTCTTTTCTCATGTCAAGATCTGAACATACAACAGATGGGTCTCCTCGCTGGACACAAGAACCAAAACTAAATGATATCTCTGAAAGATAATTAGTGACTATTCTTTTAGGGTGGTCTCACTGAAATTCCTTCTCAGTCGCATGCTTCGCCCAGTTTTGTTTATCTTTTAGAATTCTGTTTTCCTTGCCCTGGTCACTATCTGGTCATGACATTAATTAATTCTGACAGAATCCGAAATCTGGTTTTCTTTTACAGATTTTCTGTTTTCTGCAAAAAAGTATCTTTCCTCGTAAATGAAATAACATCTTTTCCCATTCATTTTTTTTTTTTGTTAAAAAAAATGTCACTCAGTCTGTCTTTCGTTATAGCTCTTTCTCACCTAAAGTATTTCTCATTTTTAATTTCTATGCTTAATTAGTTAGCCAATTACCAAAGCTAAGTCACAACACTTAACTCAACCCAAATCAGTCATGATAGTAGTATTCAATACTCAGCTCGACAAGTCACTGCAATAGTATTATCTTCTTTTTTTATTTATTGCACAAATGTACAAAAAGGGTACTAGGCCAACAAAGGGGAATGGGGAAGGCTGGAGTTCAACTGCCTTAAATTAAAATTTAGCTAGCCACAATCACTGATCTAAATATGTTGCAATAATCCTTGCAGCAAAACAACACATTCTGACTTACCATTCTTACTACATTCATTACAATACCTCAGAGACTCTATGAAGTCCTAACTTGTCCCCATATATACAATTTTGTCTGTGGGGATGGGAATAATTTTTTAAAATTTTAAAACCCCAATGAATATGTATAATGAAAAACAAGATTTATTTAAAAGAAATGAAACAAAATAGTATTAGTAATATCCCTCCCCACAATTACTAAATGTGGCAGGGACATCAGTTAACCAGACAAAATTAATGCGGGACTTAATCCAAAAACACTCATTCATCCTAATACTCTCAGAAATACACTCATTCAAACACTACAAATACAAAAAATCACATCCAAAAAATGAAAGATGTTCTGCATCCACCAGAGAAGTTATATCTCTGGTCACCTAACAGGAAAGGGAGGAAAATTAAACAAAGAAAGTGGAGGGTTGAGGGCAAAACATAAAAGGGATCACTGCACATACATGCCCTAGCTAAGAAAAACTAAAAAAAATACACAAGTGTGAACTACCTTAATTTAGGGTGGGGTTGCCAATGTTCAGCCAATATGCTTAATGCCCGCCTCATTTCCATTTGTGCCCGCTTGGTCTCTCTTGTTATTGGCATCGTTGTCATCATTTTCAGAATCTGTTTCTTCTGGTTCCGTAGTTGAATCTTCTGGCTCTGTACTGAAAAATAGCGGCGTATTTGAGTCACTCTCAGATGGCTTCTCACCGTCGTAAATCTTCTGATGATACAGATCTCTGATTCAGGTAGAGATCTCTATGGTGTGGCATTCTATTGATGAGAACTGAATGTGGGCTATAGCTCACTGTCACGGTTCCTTTTTTGAATTGCATGGAACATCGACCATTTGGGGTCTTTATCTATACTGCTACTGGAATCTAAGTAAGTGCTCCAGCTCTCTACAAATCTCACAAACATCTCCCCACAAAATGCTGCACCATTGTTGATGAGCAGCTCGGCAGGTGGCCCTTTCTCACGGAATAGCAACTCCAGCAGTCAGATGATGCTGGCAGCATCTTGATGTGGTAATTGTCACCAGAGGAAAAACTGACGAGGGCCACAATCTATCAGAGTCAGATAATGCTGGCCTTTATAATGTTTTATGTCCATCCCCACCCTGTTCCAATTTTCGTGCACATCCAACAGTCCAGTTTTCCAATGCATTTGTGCACCACCCATCAGCCTTAAGGGGACTACGTGTTCTGGATGTTTCACCTGGCACATCTTACAGACCAACTCAGCCTTCATAATTCACTCAACCACTGTTGGTCCAGACACAGAGCCATTGAACTCAGGGATGATTTTTGAGGTCAAACTTTCCATCGTCATTTTAGCTGAAATAGCTTGTGAAAAACTGTCCCAAATAATCATTTTTCCAATTGACAAAGTCTCTTCATATACACTTTCACAAGCATCCGGTTGTTTCTCTCCCACATGTGGTGTTTTATGCCTAGCTGATCTCGCAAAAAATTTGCATATGTCCAACCACTCTCACCAATTCTCCTAACTCTGAAACTGTCTTTCTTAAATTAAGGTATCAGGGTGGCCATATTTTTTTTTCCTTTCACTCATTTTGCATACCAGGCATATATGTGCTCACTTTGCCACACAGAGTAAGTCATCTTCTCTTCTACACATTCATCATGTCATTTGCTGATGTCCCTAAAGCTTCTCTTAATCCCATTTCAAGTTTCCATTTTGTGCCTCATATCTTCTTTTCACACTGTTCATATATTTTTCCTTCAGGATCAGATTGTTCAGGGGTCTGTTGTATTGCAATTTGGTTTGCTGCATTAGGCCTTTTCAGTTTCCATAGTTTCACTCTTAATTTACTTATAACAGGGAGGTGATTGCTTTCATGGTTGGCAATTAGATAGGTTTTGCAGTGAACAACTGCATTCCTGAATCTTTTGTTCATGGGTATGTAGTCTATTTGGTTTTACTTTCTCCTCCTGGGTTTCTCTATGTCCATAATCATCTTGGATGTTCTTGAAACCAGTTGGCCATGCACCATTGGACCTATTTTTTTCATGCGTTCATTGCAGGTTCCTAGTCCAAATTTGCCAGATATCTCCCTTGCCTTCTCCTTGCCTAATTTGGCATTTGAGTCTCTGATGATAATTATAACTTCTTGTGATTTGCACTGAGCCTTGGTATTGTCTCGTAGGAAAGAGAAAGATTTGATTTCTTCTTCCATACTTTGTGCTATCGTTATATACATTATTATAATAGATACATTGAAAAATTTTCCTTTCAGTTTAACTACAAAAATTCTTTCAGATAATTGAGAGTATCCCAGAACATATTTCTTGATGTCTTCATCTAGTATCGATCCAACTCCTTTTTCATTTTTCTCTCCACCTGCATATATAATCCTGTGGTTGTCACTGACAAAATCTCCATTGTTTGGCCACCTAGTTTCATTTAACCTACTCTCTTCTGTTTTACATTTTCCAACTGGCCACAGTTTGATATTCGAACTTTCTATGTCCTGAGAGTTATTTTTGTTTAATAAGCTGTCTCTAGCTGATGGTCCGGTGACATGTCACTCATGTCACTCCTTTCTGGGAAAGTCATATATTCCAAGGTATTTTATCTTCTATATACCATTTATGTTAACAGTCACTTGATGACATCAGGTGACACCTGTTGTATACATCAGCCCTTACCGGGAGAGGAGTTAATTTCCATAGACTTAGCCCACTTCATGCCATTAGATTTCATAATTTGTTTGATAGTTGCCATGATATGTCTCAGGATTAATAGTGGTGTGCTTTCCCATTGCGTTCTCCACAGTGCTTTATGGAGACATTGCCTCTAGGTAGCTGACCATTGACTTACTGAGAGTTCTTCTGCCCTTTGTTAGGCCTTATTTTTCATCCTACTGGGTTGCTAACAACCCTCATCACTTGCAAGAACATGAAGTAGGGTAGGTAACACTCCAACAATGGAATCTAACAAAAAATGTAACTCTCCCTCTCCTCCAAAAGATATAACTGCATCCCTTCTTAGAAAGACATTTGTTAATGATATACATTTAATGACTTTTGTTTCTGCTTGTTTTTCAATTAAGCCAAATGCTTGAGTAACCAATAACTTGATTGACCACTGATGCTATTAAGTTTTGAATTTATTTGAAGAGATACTGATTCTTTTTTTGCATTTATTCACTATCTTTCATTTGTCATCTTAAGAGAATCCCTTTTTCCTTGAAGATTTTTTATTACTGTTTTGATATTCTGTTTTGTTTTTTTTTTTTTTGCAGACTGTTTAACATATTTGTATACCGTTTAGAGACCACAAAAGAAAATTGAAAATGAAGAAATTTCAATTTAATTCAACATCACAATATCAAAATTCAGAAAACACAACTGAACTGTTTGCAAATGAAGAAATGAATCAAGAAGTGAGAGACATGATATCTCTTGGCCTTCTTGACAAAAACTGGTCCCATGGTTTAAATGAAAAAGAAGCTGAAGTTAAACTTAATCAGGTGCTTTCAAATGGTCAAGATTCTAAATTTAGCCAAGCAGAACCATTTGCAAATGAAGAAATGAATCAAGAAGTGAGAGACATGATATCTCTTGGCATTCTTGATAAAAACTGGTCCCATGGTTTAAATGAAAAAGAAGCTGAAGTTAAACTTAATCAGATGCTTTCAAATGGTCAAGATTCTAAATTTAGCCAAGCAGAACCATTTGCAGATGAAGAAATGAATCAAGAAGTGAGAGACATGATATCTCTTGGCATTCTTGATAAAAACTGGGCCCGTGGATTAAATGAAAAAGAAGCTGAAGTTAAACTTAATCAGGTGCTTTCAAATGGTCAAGATTCTAAATTTAGCCAAGCAGAACCATTTTCAAATGAAGAAATGAATCAAGAAGTGAGAGACATGATATCTCTTGGCCTTCTTGACAAAAACTGGTCCCATGGTTTAAATGAAAAAGAAGCTGAAGTTAAACTTAATCAGGTGCTTTCAAATGGTCAAGATTCTAAATTTAGCCAAGCAGAACCATTTGCAAATGAAGAAATGAATCAAGAAGTGAGAGACATGGTATCTCTTGGCCTCCTTGATAAAAACTGGTCCCATGGTTTAAATGAAAAAGAAGCTGAAGTTAAATTTAACCAGATACTTAATAGCCAAAACAGTGCAACACCAACCCCAAAAGTATGTTCCAATGTAAAGAAAGAAAATATTCATACAAAGGATAAGAATTTCAGAAAGAGAAAACAGTATAAACTCATAACTTTGTGTCGTGGGGATCAAACTTTTCAAGATATATTTGGAGACTTTAAAAACTGCCAGATTGGCAAGGATATTAAAACTATTCAGTATGTTGAGAATGAAAAACAAAAGAGATTATTTCAAGATGAGATCAACCAAGTAAAAAGACTACATGGAAATGGTGAGATATTTTTTTTTTTGTTGATAACTTTTACCTTCCTAAATAGTATTCTGTCCACTAATTCTATGCTTTTAGTGTATTTAAAGAATTTTTTTTTTTTAAATTTTCAAAACTTATTTAAGGAAAAAAAAACTGTGTTTAATATGTGTTTAAATAGCAGATGTGTATTTTGTTATTTTGCTTGGAATAAAATAGTACAGGTTTAATGTTTTTCATATTTCTTACTAGTTACGAACAACAATGACTGGTTGTAGCCACAAAACAACTTAAGAATCTTATGTTATATTATCAACATTTTCAAGTTAAACCAATTTCAAAATTAATCAGCCCATATTTTACTAAATGGACTTTTGTTATCTATAATTCATACTATTCTTAAACATTTTACCAAATTGAATAAATCATTATCATTAATTTATTTCATACTTAGCAGATGTTGACTTGTTAAAACTAAAACCTGTTTTTACAAATGTTTTGCAGATTTTTTATCTTGTTTCAGAATTTGATCTGCAAATTAAAGAATTATATCATGCAACTAAAGCTCCAAGAAATCTGATTTGTTCTCGTGGACTGGATCAACGACTCAGTACTTTTTGGGTTGTTTGGCCGAGGAATTTATTTTTGAAGTTAAAAAGAGTATTATATAATTTTTATTGATTAGAACGAAGTGGTCAGAGTAGGAAAGATAAAAGAAAATGAAGACAAAAACACAAAAAAGAAGCAATAAAAGAATGAAAAAAATTAAAAAAGATTCAGATAAGAAGAGAGAAAAAAGACAAAGAAGAGAGAAAAAGAGAGAGAAAAAAAGAGAGAGAGAAAAGACAAAGAAAGAGACAAAACAATTAAGTAGCAACAAAGAAAACCACGTACATATCAAATTTAAATGTCACTATTTTCTTGATATATTTTGGCTATTTTTTCTTAAATTACAAGTTGTACATTATGTCTTAGTGTTGTATTGCTCTATGACATGTGTTCTGTAGTCAACTTCTTTTTTTTCTCTTATACACTTTGTATTTTCTACTTAACATATACAAATAGGTAAAATCCTATTTACCAATCCACTACTCCTCTCTGAAGAGGTTTAATGCCTTTGGTTGTTCTCAAACTTATTCTACAACCTCTTTCTTCCTCTCCCCCTTGAAGTTTATGGCCTGTTCTTTTCTTCTTTGTCTGAGTCACTCCTGATCTGAAAAACTTATCCTTTCTTCTCTGTCAAGTGCTTCTTCCATCACAACGTCTTCCACTTCAATTCTGGATCTTACTTGGTCAGAATACGTTATTTGGATTCTTTGATATAATGGTTGTGTTATGTCCCCTTTACATGATAAAATTAGCTCTCTTGGGACTTGCTACTTTGTCTTTCTTATGCCACATCTTTCATTTGTCAAATAAGACATTGTTAATGAAGATCTTATTTGTCTTCCCATTAACGCAGATGGGCTTTGTAATCTGTCTGTATGTGGAATTGTCCTATAACTAAGCAGTTACATTGGTAAGTAACCATCTGTATTGTCTCTACCTGGGAAAAATGTTTCTATAGTGATACTAGCAAATTAGTATGCATAATTTGCATAAGCAGAACTGAACATTTACTGAGAATTACCACGAGCAAGTACGAGCTTAGCAACTGGAAGTTCTTGCTTTTTACAAATTGAACAAGTTCGCTTTGACAAATTGGACAATTTCTTGCATTGACGTACAGTTAAGTTTTGAGTTTCTAAAACCTTTTTGAAATCTTTATTTTACTTTATTTGTGTTTCTCTTTCTTTCTTTTTGGTTTTATTCTACTTTTCCGTTCTTGCGAGTTTTTACCCCCTCCCCATTGTTTTGTTTGTTTGTATTACTTTGGTTTACTATTTCTTTGTTTGAATTATCTTTGGTTGCCCATGTTTTTCTTCCATTTTATTTTCTGTTTGATACTTTTTGGAGAAGAAAGAAAGTTTTAAAAATTTAAAAAAAAAAAAAAAAAAATACAGTTATATTCGTTTGGTCGCGGCCAAAAATGGCCGGCGTTGACACAAACGTAAACATGTCTCGACCAACACCGCCCGATGCAAAGTCAAAATTTGTTGCCAGCGAAAAGTCAGGCCTGGTCCGAGAGTGGACCCAAGAAAAAGACTCTTAGACATTTAAGAACAATGGCAGAAATCCCTGACAACGTGAAGGGGAATGAGTTTATTACAATTCCGGAGGCCTTGGACGCTATCAAGGTCAAAGTTATCTCTCTGCTAACATCGGATGTCAAAACCCATAGACTGATTGGAGTCAGCAGAGACAATGTAGAGGATGCTCTAAAGACCCTCAAGATTGCCCCCAAAATGTTAGCCCAATTTTAAGCAATGCCATGTGGGACATTCTGTTGGTCCGGAGCAAGAGGCGAAGCAGCTGGCGGGAAAATATCTTTGTCCACAACAAACTTGCGCCTCCAAACAGAATACATGGGGATGAGAAAAATGCGGATTACTGTTCACGGCATTCCTGTCGACATTACCCAGGACAGAATAGGGCGTTTTTCACCAAAATTTGGCCTAGTAGAGGGAAGTCAGTGCGCTCAGAAGCAAGTCTGGCATAGCAACAGGAGACATGGTGCTCCAGGTAGTCCTGGATAGGGACAACTTCGGGACATACCAAATGTGTTGACTTGCGGGGAGAAGAAGATGCTGGTGGAAGTGGAGGGCAGGAAACCATGTTGTTGGGCGTGTGGTGCGGTGGGGCACATGGCAAAGGAGTGCCCCAGGAAAAAAGGTTCAGCAGACTACAAAAAGATACTCCAGCAGCAGTAACAGCAGTGACAGAAGTGGCTCCAACAAAGGAAAAGGCTGGCCCCAGGAGCCTGGGCGGAGGTGAGGAAAGGGGAAAAGTGGCAGTTCCACCCTCTTCTCCAGTCTTGGAAGGAGAAAAAACAAGAACAACGAAAACCCCAGCAGCAGCAGTCACAGCAGAAGCCCCAGCAGCAAGAGAAGCTTCAACAGCAACAACCTCCTCAGCATCAGAAACACCAGCATTCGAAACAGCAACAAGAGCAGCAGAAGCAGCAGCAAAAAAGGCAGCAACAACAAGAGCAGCAACACCTCCACAAGGAGAAACAGGTGGAGGAAGAAACACCAATGGAGGTAGATAAAATGCCTCCACTTTCTCCATCCCTGAAAAGGAGCAGGGAGGAAGATCCAGAGGAAACAGAACAGTCTGGCCTAGGACAAGCAGAGGGAGTGACATGGACAGAACCAGGCAGTCTCCTTCCCGGCCGTAATAAAGTTTCCAGCTCCCCAAAGTTAGGGCGTCCCTTCTTCCCCCCTTCCCGTTTAACCAACCCCCTCTTCCCCCATTACACCCCTAAGTTCACCGGCTGGCCCCCGCACACGTCCACTTCCACCCCACCCCATCGTGATAGGGAGAAGGAAAAAAAAAGAAAAAAATACTTCCCGGGTCCAGATGGGATCTGTAAAGTAGATAAGGAGGAGGAAAAAAAAAGGCCTTTCAAAACAAAAAAAAGGGCCCTCTTGGGGCTCCATATTTAAACTTGATGAGGTAGCTGGGAAATCGGTAGAAGATCCACCTGGACTTCCCTAACGCCCCAGGTGTCATCACCGTTGTAAGAGATCACTGGGGCATACTTGAAAGTGTGGAGCCATATATATGAGGTCCGTCTCGTTTACTTATCCGAAAAATAAGGGTAATGGAGGAAAATAATGAAGACCTCAAAAGATGAGGCATTTTGCTCTCAGGGTCCCAGTTCTGCTCCATCCTCTTTGTATAGGGCCATAAAATTAATTTACCCCACTGGACGTTGGCTGTGTTGTCCTGGGTGGTCGTATGATGACCGAGTTGGGTACAGGAAACCTGGGACAATCCGTAGGGGGTCCTTACCGAAATAAATTCGTGGGTATGTGAATAGGTTAATTCTGTTCTTTATATTTTACAGGACTTAGAAGATGGAAATTAAGATAGTGACGTTGAATGTCTGAAGGGCTTGAGGAGTCGGGGCTAGGCTGCCCGCCTGCTCGGAACCTCTTGTCTTTGGTGTGGATGTTGAGGCGTTTGTCGCCATTTTAGAGCTGGTTTACCAAGGAAACTGGTCTCCGTGAGGATCGAGTTTGCAGCTATTTGGCTGACTTTCCTCTGAAGTTTAGCTAAGCCAAATGAAGCAGCTAGCTGCGAGGAGAGAGATTACGGAGGGCGAAGTCTACGCGGCATTGAAGAAGGTCGGCAGAGGCAAGTCACCCGGTCTGGATGGTTTGTCCTATGAAGTGTACTTGAGGCTGTTGCACATCTTTGTTCCGATTTTGATTGCAGTGTTCAACAACTGGTTTCGGTCGGGGTCCATCCCCAATCGGATCACCAGGGTGTGATCACTCTGTTGAAAAAAGGGCAAAGGTGGTGGGGGAACCTAGATGATTACAGGCCCATAACTCTGCTAAACACAGAGTTTAAGATTTTGGCCAAGATCCTGCAGGAGCGTTTGCAGTCAGTTGCCGAGTCTCTGTTGGGTCCTGAGCAAACTTGTTCTGTGAGGGGCCGAACAATTCAGAGCAACCTGCATCTGGTCCACACGATCATAGAGGGAGTAAAAGATGACGAAGAAGCCGCGCTGATCAATTTGGATCAGTGAAAGGCATTTGATAGGGTTGACCATCGCTACCTTGCTACTGTCCTGCAGGCCGCTGGATTCGAACCCAACTTCTGCCGTTGAATTAACCTCCTGTATCACTCCCCCAGTGCTGTGGTACAGGTGAACGGAAGGTTGTCGGACACTTTTGTGCTGTCTAGGTCGGTTCGTCAGGGTTGTCCGCTGTCGCCTCTCCTTTATGCTTTGGTGTTGAAGCCTCTCCTTCGCCGGCTGAAGGACGAGACATGCAGTCCGGCCCTACGTGGAATTGCCGTACCTGGAGGGTCTCGAGCCAGGGTTTCTGCGTACGCCAAAGACGTATCTGCTTTTGTGTCGTCCCACAGCGACACTGAGGCGGTGAAGAAGGTGCTTGATTGGTACGAGAAGGTGACAGGGGCCAAGATAAACCGTGACAAGTCGTCCGGCTTGCAGTTAGGTGCCTGGAAGGGGGTCGCTCTTCCGGGCCGCTTTGGTTGGACGGACGGTCTTGTCCGCATTCTAGGAGTGTGGTTTGGGCCCGACCTCCAGCTGGAGAAGAATTGGTCTGAAGTACGAGCAAAGGTCGATTCTGCCGGTCAGACTTGGAAATAGCGGAGTTTGTCCGTGAAGGGCAGGGCGGAGGTGTGTGCTACATACATTTTCCCCCTGATTCTTTATCGATTGTCTGTACTTCCTCTCTGTAAGACCCACAGGAAGGCGCTCGGCGTCGCTATCCTCCATTTTATGGAGGGGATGCGTGTCGGGTCGACAGACGAGTCTGCACTAAACGTCCGTGTCATGGGGGGCTGGGAATGCCGCACATGCCGAGTCACATCCGTGCTTCTAGGTTGGCTTTCCCGCGCGCATTGAGTGGAGGAGATCCAATTCTGGAGGGGATTGTTGGGACGCATTCCCCTGGCCTTACCATCAGTCCCCCATCTCGCGGGTTGTGCTTGCCGTCGTAAACCCCGGATCAATCGGTTTTCATTTTCGCGAGTGTTGGTCGGCCTTTGTGAGCCGTTCCCGGGTCCAGTGACC